CGCAGTAATAAGCATGATGAAAATAATGAGCACAGTTAACTGTTTGGATCCTTGCTTCCTTTGTAGTCCTTGCCGAGAGGTTTAGCTATTAAAGGCTGTATTGCATTACAACATTGCCAAGATATTAATAGCCAGGCAGAGAGATGAATGGCAGGCTTACGCCGTACAATTAAAACTTTTCCAGTTTACCCTTTCAGTAAAATTTGTGGTTTATAATAAGCATCTTTGTCTATTCTGAAGAGAGTAAGGATTGGAAAGTTACATAGATGGGAACAGAGGTTCATTAAAGATTTAAAATAGAATGTGGTTTGGCATTGTAAAACAAACATGCGTATAAGATGGGTTGCATCAAGAGCTGCCTGAAAGAAATGCTCAGTGTTCCTTTTCTCTTGTGATCCTGGATCTACTGCTGACACTACCCACAGCAGGGGATAAAAAAGCAGCAGGGATAAATGTGCATGTTTGATCCCCAATAACATAGAGGTCTACTCTATATCCCACTCATTATGCATTTCTCATACATATAGAAATAGTATGTGTATATATAAGCATATGAGAAAAACATGCATTTTATCTATCATGCATCCAGATATTCATCAACATACACAGACCTTGTATTACTGATTCTTCTCACCTTAGTGCCTAGAAACCCCTATTATAGAGCAAACACATATTGACCTTATAGAGACCCAGCGAGCACTTAAACATGCAGAAAGCATACATGTTATTTGCTCAAGCCTAATTCAGAGCACAGCACATTCCTGTTTCTCAAACACACGAGGACAGCAGAAGAAGGGAGACAGATCAAAAGAATTCCTGCAAATCCAGGGTTTGAGTAAGAGGGTTAACATTACCAGGTAATTTATTTATACTGTTGGACACGGCTTCAATTTAGATAAAAGGCAGTTGCTTATCACATGGATTTTAATAAATCAGGTTAGGAGTCCCAGAAATCTGCAAAAGCTGGCTCTCCAACGGCACGTAATGCACAATGACTATGGCTTTATTTACAGAGTCACTGGGAGTTACTGGTCCTTGCCAGGAGCCAGAGCTGCCCCGTCTTACCCCCGTTCCTCGCCAGTGAGCACCTACGCCCAGGCCAATAATCCCGATGATTAACAAAATCTAGCACTAGAGGGAGGCTGAACACATGTTCTGCTCTCTTTGGCCTTTTCGGCTTCTCCAAACACTGAAAGGCAGGCGATTTCAAGCAAGCCCAGCACCCAGGCAGAGCCCAGCCACCAAGCAGGAGATGTGCTATTTAAGGCAGCACCCCCTGTAGGCAAAAATCACACTTTCCCCTCCCCAACTATTTGTCAATATGCACACCTAAAATAAAAAAAAATAAAAAAATGGGGAAAGAAAAAGGACCAAAAAAAAAAAAAGCAAATTCCTCTGTTGCGGCTGTTTCCTTTGCCGGTGAGTCACAGCCACGGAGAGGCACGGCCGCCGCTCGCTGGGAGGGAGGCAGACAGCAAAACGCCTGGCAACCTCCCCCATAACAAGGATGAGGCTCTCGCCGCCCGCATCTATCAACACGCTCCCACCTTCTCCCAAGTGCGAGCACCAGGGAGAGGCGAGACGGGTCTCCTCTGAACAGCCTTGTCGAGGAAGGCACGTATACCTTCGCACCGTTTCGGGGTTTCTGCTCCCAAAATTCTTTGGCAATAGGAATTGGAGCCCGTCGGCTGATTTCCTGTATATCACAACAGGACAATACACCCTGGTCCATGAGTCCCGTTGTCCTGAACACGGGAACAGCTGCTGCCCACACACAGCGCAGCAGCCCCTCCGTGCACAGGTGGTTAAAACAAGAACCGGTGAATTAAGCTGTTTTATCATAGAATCATAGCATGGTTTGGGTTGGAAGGGACATAAAGATCCTCTAGTTCAACCCCCCCTGCCATGGGCAGGGCCACCTTCCGCTAGACCAGGTTGCTCAAACCCCCTCCAGCCTGGTTTTGAACATCTCCAGGGATGAGGCATCCACAGCTTCTCTGGGCAACCAGTGTCTCACCACCCTGACAGTAAAGAATTTCTTCCTATCTAATCTATATCTACCCTTCATGCAACTGTTCAAAGTCTGTTTGTTTCTTCACATTAAGCCCCATCCTACACCACTTTTGAGCATCCTTTTCCGTATATCCCGAATTCTTTCTGGTCTCAGCCACTGATGGTATTTACTAATTAATTCACAGTTTTTACAGTAATGAGGCAGTGCAGTGTAGCAAATAGAACTGCTCTGGGACGCAGGAGCTCTGGGTCCTATTTTTAGCCTGCCACTGGTCAGCCTGGTGACCTAGGCAAAGCGCTTTCCCTCTGTCAGCTTCCTTATCAGGGAGAGACTGGTATTTCTTTTGTAAAGTGTTTTGTGGCCTGTCAACACCAAACACACTGATAACAGCCGGGGGTTGTTGGGAAAGAGGCGATCTCCCGGCTGAACGCAATCCTCTCCTTTCCGTGTTGCGGTAGCATCTGTAGGGTCCCAAATGCAAATCCGACCCACACTGCAGATACAGCACCTGTGGGTAATTAGCAGTGATTCGTAAATGCATGTTTTTCCAAGGTGGCCCTTGGCAGGTCCACAGCTGAGGGTCACATCTGCTCCGAGCCACCCAGGTCCTGCCCTGACACAAAACGCTGGGCTCTAAACCTTTCCTTTAAGGAGAACTGGTTGTTTCAAAGCCAGTGGAGATCTGAAGTCCCCACGATACAGCTTATTAAGAAGCAGCCAGAGCACACGTGGCTTCCCAGGGATGGGGCAAGGGGTAGGGACTGGCTGTTCACCTCACCTGAGCAACCCTGCCTGGCAAGGAAGGAAGAAGTTGCCAGCACCATGAGCGAGGGTCCCTCTCTGTGAGCAAACAAGGCACTCGAGAGGTTGCTTATGAGAGTTTTTCATTTTTGCTTTCCCCGGCCTGGGCAGAATGCCTGTTTTGAAACTAGAAGGCAAAAAAAGTAATAAAAATCTGCCTCCCTCCCGCCCAGATCTATCTATTTCCCTTTGACAAACAGTGATTTCATTTTTCTTCCCGTCCAGGATTACTTTTTTTTTTTTTTCTCTTTTAAACTGAGCCCAAGCCAACGTGGCAAAAGGCTCTTTGCTCATGTCCTTATTTGTCAAACACGCCATCACCGCGCCCTCACCACCATTCTGGGAACCAGCCCTCGCCTTCCCCGCCTGACTTCAGCCGAAGGGGAACTTCCCAACACAGCTCTCCCCCAGCCCCAAGGCACTCTTTTTAAATACAAACATTTCCTTTTCTCTTATTTTTTTTTTTAAAGCATTACAGTTAATAAGAAAAGTTTTTAAATTTCCTTTCCCTTTCCTCCCCAGCTCATCTGTGAATCCAAACGTGACAGAACGGGAAAACAGAAATGACAAGAAAATGCCAGATCTGTTGCAAAGGTATTTCACAACCCCATCCTCCTCTGATTTCCATCAGAGCATAAGCACCTCAAGGGAAGTCAGATACTAAAGTACCTTTTTGGATCTTATCCTAAGTGGCCAGTTCCACTGTCCAAATAGAGATCCAGAGATAAACAGGCCTACGAAAACTGGGCATTATTATTTTAACTGCTGCTCTTAAGCTACAACTTAAACCGTAATAATCTGTGCAGCTTTTAGCCATCTGCTAACAGTAACACACGAAATTATAATAAACTAAACATATATATTCTGCTGTCCTCATCAACTTAACACCTAGTATAAAAAGCTTTACCTGGAAACACAGCTCACATATTTCCTAAGCTGTCATCAGCACTCTGCCATCCAGAGAGAAATTTTTGTTGTAAAGGGGCTGATTTGCTGGAGGAGATAAATTTCAAGCTCTGGACTAAATGTGGAGGGCTCACACCAGGTCTGCAAGGGCTGAACCACCCCAGGCAGCAGCCTCAGATCTGGTCCATGCTCAGGAACAGGGTCATCTGCTCCAGCACTTACACTTAGCTATGGGGAAACTGAGGCATGGAAATGAAGTGGCCTGGCATCAGAAGAATGGGGCTTGGCTTTAGTTTGTTAGAGCCTGATCCAAGACATGCTCATGAGATCTACGCCTTCAGGCAACCGTGTCACAGCAGAAGGAACGCAGCCACCATTCATTCTGCGCCTTCAGCACAGGAACCTCTGCCTGGAGTTGTAAAAACAACCGTGTTCAACACACAAAGGCATAGAGCAGCTTTCTCCATTGCCACCTGCCCTTTTCCCTCATCTCTTGGGCCTTATGTCTTGCTTCAGCACAGCTTTTGCTGCTCCTGCAAGATAAGGAGCTGATCTTGCAGCACGAGACACCGCTGGCTCCTGACTTAGCCCCGGCTTTTCTCTGTTCCTGATCTCCTTCAGAGGACGGAAGGGAAAAGAAAGGGGAAAAAGGTGACACGGGAGCACAGATTAATGGCTGAGACCCGTGTTTGCTGCGTAGGGTACATCTGGGGGTGGTGACAGGCAGGAGTGCTGGGGCACGACTGGCAGGCTCGCCTTCCTCCAAACGGGATGCCACACAAAGGGATCTTGCTCTAAGCAAGCTCCTGACAAAGCCCAACACTCTGAACACAGCTCCAGCCCCAAAGCCAGAGAGAAAGGGTGTGACGAATAGCAACTTCATGAGCTCAGCGGGAAAAAGCCATCCTCCCTGGCTGGTTCTACCAAGGGACACGTCGAGTGACAGCCCCGAGTGGCTCAGGCACATCTTTCTATGATTCACGTCTTTCAGGCGCATGGTCCTGTGATCTTTGGAGCCATCAGAAGCTGATGACACAAGCCCCTTCCAATAAACATGGTGAGGTCCTCTCCTTGGGCAAAGCCTGACCCTGGAGAAGCACGTGAGGTGCTGTTGCCCTTTCCCACTGCCCAGGCTCCTACCCAGAGAGCGGTGCAGGCGGTGCCCTGCCCTCACCACAAGCCTGCTGCTTCACTGCTTCGACGCTTCCCAGGGCAGTCTGGAAGCTCCCCTGCTCCCACGGGGTCACTCTTCTCGGAGAGATAAGAGACAGAACAACACTTGCTGGGGAATTACTTCATTCCCCCAAGGCTGGGAAAAGCCTTGCTCGAACTTGGCTAATGTCCCTCACGGCTGCAGCCTTTCCTGGCAAGGGAGAACGCAACCCTCATTAACCCCTTCCCTCTCAAAGGCTGCTTATAATGCTGAACCCATTGCAGGAACATGCCGAGGCTTTGTGATGGCATCTGAACATCTCGCCACAGGCAAGAGATGAGAGGAAGCCCACAAGGGAGGAAAATGTTTTCTTTTTACAGAGGCACAAAGTAGATGAATTGACTCTAGAGTTTGTGGCGACATCAAGAACTAAGTCAGGTCACCTAGATCAACCTATATCACACTTAGTTTGCCTTCACTACTCCTCCTAGAAAGCTCTTCCAGACCTTCACAGCCTCAGTGCTTAGAAACTTTCTAAACACGAGCATGAAGATTCTTCTGGCAAGCTCAGCCTCTCCTGTTCCTGCATCAACACTCACCCAGAGCAGAAACAGTTCTTCTCCGGTGCTTATTCCCCAAATGTATTTCAAATTTGCAACCATACCCTCTCCTCAGCCTTCCTTTTGCTCAGCTAACAAGCCAAACTCTTCTGGTCTCCACTGACAAGTTCAGCTCCTCACTCCTTGATCACCTTGACAGCCTGTCCCTGCAGTCAGAAGACATCTCTCCTGCATGTGGCTGAGCGAACACAACAGTACCCAGCACTACAGGCAAGCCAGCAGTGTCTGTTCATACCTTGCAAAGATGTTCACGGTATGACCCTATCCACAAAGGACATGCCATCATCACCTAATGCAACTCAGAAGTTGCACTTTAATCCAGTTGGCAAATCTAGAGGATCCAAGCCAGCAAAGAGTGGGGGAATAGGGTCTCAGTGACATCACTGGAGCCTGGGCCAGGGCTGATTTGCTTCACTTAATTTTCAGTATCTAAACAAAGCACTTTTAGGATCCAATTACTGCCCTAAAGTCTCTCCACAGTCCATGGAAGGAGATGGCCCTTCCAGAAAACAATTCATTCTGGGAAGGCTTCACCCCCATACGCCATCACAAGGACATAAGGCAATTAGTCTTCTAATTCAAGCCGGATGGGAAAAATCCTTTAATAGCCCAGCAAGTTTTGAATGGAAATATTCCCTACTTGGGAAACACAGCTTGCTAAAGCTGACTTGGTTGTTCCTGACACATGATTTCTAACCGCAGCACTTTGCCACCTCGCTTTATTATCTTCATTTCCATAATTTTTGGATCATTTCTGCATAAACGATAAAATTCTCGTCTTCTTACCTGCACATTGAAAGTAACGTCATCCAGAGGGGGTGGGGGGGGAAAGGCACCTTGTGATGATGTCATGTTCCCGAGGTCATCCACAGGAGGTGGGGGCGGAGGAAGGAAGTCCCCTAGGAGAGAGAACCAGAGAACTTAAACTCACCAGCATTCCCCACATCGTGACATGGATGATCAGGATGAACCCGGCAATACTCCACCATCAGTATTGTGGCACAGGACATAACACATCTTTTAAGCAGTAAATGCTCACTTGGCACCCCTTGCTGCTTCAGGAGATGGCTACGACAGCTCAGTAATGTTGGCAGATTGCTTAGAGGTATGCAGACCCTGCAGCAGAAGGTGACTTGCCACAAAGCCTGAAGGCACCAACAACAGGCTCCATAGACTGAAGCTTGCATCTCCAACCTTGCCACAGGCAACTACAAATCTTGTCATAACGAACGCCCCATGTTCAGCCTTGCAATGGATCCCATCCAATTCACTCCCCTTGTGTGCTAGACTATGCCATCTCTTCTCCATCACTACAAAGATAGCATCAGATTCTGTCTAAAAGCAGGGATTCCCTGGTGCAGAGGTCACATGTGGAGGGATGGAACTGGAGCCCAAAATCTAGACCAGCTCATCTCCTGCATCCCTGCTGCTGGCAGGTTGCCACAATGTTTGCATCTCCCTCTTCCTAGAGGAACCTCATAGCTTCATGTAAAGAACTGCTGGGAAGACCACAGGCTCTTCTCAGTGACAATAGCCACATGGTGAGCCAGTTGAAAGCTCAGAAGCATCCACCTCTTAACTCCGAGAAGGCTTTTTACATGGGGCTGACATACAAAATATCTACATTTAATTTGTTTGCTTCCTAACTTCCAAAAGTGCTGATGCAAAGACAAAGAAGCATACTGGCTGTGAAGTCATCCAGCTTAGCATAGAGATGGGAGACCTCTCCTTGAGAACTGCATGGAAGGCGGGATCACAAAGGAAAGCACAAGAACAGAGCAGCGCAGGCTGTGGGCAGCCAGACACCAGGCTCTGAAAGCACCTCCTAAGGATGGAGAAAAGGGTATTTGCTGTTAGCACTGCATGTGGCTCCGGGGGTTGACTCTAGAGTTTGTGGCGACATCAAGAACTAAGTCAGGTCACCTAGATCAACCTATATCACACTTAGTTTGCCTTCACTACTCCTCCTAGAAAGCTCTTCCAGACCTTCACAGCCTCAGTGCTTAGAAACTTTCTAAACACGAGCATGAAGATTCTTCTGGCAAGCTCAGCCTCTCCTGTTCCTGCATCAACACTCACCCAGAGCAGAAACAGTTCTTCTCCGGTGCTTATTCCCCAAATGTATTTCAAATTTGCAACCATACCCTCTCCTCAGCCTTCCTTTTGCTCAGCTAACAAGCCAAACTCTTCTGGTCTCCACTGACAAGTTCAGCTCCTCACTCCTTGATCACCTTGACAGCCTGTCCCTGCAGTCAGAAGACATCTCTCCTGCATGTGGCTGAGCGAACACAACAGTACCCAGCACTACAGGCAAGCCAGCAGTGTCTGTTCATACCTTGCAAAGATGTTCACGGTATGACCCTATCCACAAAGGACATGCCATCATCACCTAATGCAACTCAGAAGTTGCACTTTAATCCAGTTGGCAAATCTAGAGGATCCAAGCCAGCAAAGAGTGGGGGAATAGGGTCTCAGTGACATCACTGGAGCCTGGGCCAGGGCTGATTTGCTTCACTTAATTTTCAGTATCTAAACAAAGCACTTTTAGGATCCAATTACTGCCCTAAAGTCTCTCCACAGTCCATGGAAGGAGATGGCCCTTCCAGAAAACAATTCATTCTGGGAAGGCTTCACCCCCATACGCCATCACAAGGACATAAGGCAATTAGTCTTCTAATTCAAGCCGGATGGGAAAAATCCTTTAATAGCCCAGCAAGTTTTGAATGGAAATATTCCCTACTTGGGAAACACAGCTTGCTAAAGCTGACTTGGTTGTTCCTGACACATGATTTCTAACCGCAGCACTTTGCCACCTCGCTTTATTATCTTCATTTCCATAATTTTTGGATCATTTCTGCATAAACGATAAAATTCTTGTCTTCTTACCTGCACATTGAAAGTAACGTCATCCAGAGGGGGTGGGGGGGGAAAGGCACCTTGTGATGATGTCATGTTCCCGAGGTCATCCACAGGAGGTGGGGGCGGAGGAAGGAAGTCCCCTAGGAGAGAGAACCAGAGAACTTAAACTCACCAGCATTCCCCACATCGTGACATGGATGATCAGGATGAACCCGGCAATACTCCACCATCAGTATTGTGGCACAGGACATAACACATCTTTTAAGCAGTAAATGCTCACTTGGCACCCCTTGCTGCTTCAGGAGATGGCTACGACAGCTCAGTAATGTTGGCAGATTGCTTAGAGGTATGCAGACCCTGCAGCAGAAGGTGACTTGCCACAAAGCCTGAAGGCACCAACAACAGGCTCCATAGACTGAAGCTTGCATCTCCAACCTTGCCACAGGCAACTACAAATCTTGTCATAACGAACGCCCCATGTTCAGCCTTGCAATGGATCCCATCCAATTCACTCCCCTTGTGTGCTAGACTATGCCATCTCTTCTCCATCACTACAAAGATAGCATCAGATTCTGTCTAAAAGCAGGGATTCCCTGGTGCAGAGGTCACATGTGGAGGGATGGAACTGGAGCCCAAAATCTAGACCAGCTCATCTCCTGCATCCCTGCTGCTGGCAGGTTGCCACAATGTTTGCATCTCCCTCTTCCTAGAGGAACCTCATAGCTTCATGTAAAGAACTGCTGGGAAGACCACAGGCTCTTCTCAGTGACAATAGCCACATGGTGAGCCAGTTGAAAGCTCAGAAGCATCCACCTCTTTTAACTCCGAGAAGGCTTTTTACATGGGGCTGACATACAAAATATCTACATTTAATTTGTTTGCTTCTTAACTTCCAAAAGTGCTGATGCAAAGACAAAGAAGCATACTGGCTGTGAAGTCATCCAGCTTAGCATAGAGATGGGAGACCTCTCCTTGAGAACTGCATGGAAGGCGGGATCACAAAGGAAAGCACAAGAACAGAGCAGTGCAGGCTGTGGGCAGCCAGACACCAGGCTCTGAAAGCACCTCCTAAGGACGGAGAAAAGGGCATTTGCTGTTAGCACTGCATGTGGCTCCAGGGTAAGCAGACACCTGTAATCTGGACCACTTTGGTAGATTATTATTTCTTCTCATAAAGGTTGATGCTGCCAGTAGAGCTGTTTGCTGTTGGCTCTCCCATGTGCAGCATCTGGGATGGTAGTTCAAAGTCTGATGTTTCACGTATAGAGGAACTGTTGCTTTTGGAGGGTTTTAACCCTTTTTGGGAGGAAACAAGGGCTCCCTACTTGACCCTCCACATCTCCTTGCCATGTCACACTCCTCCCAGTCCTCAGCACCATCCTCAAATACCAAGGAGCAGGCTCCAAACCACTCAGAGAGATGCTTTGTCATACCCCAGTGACACCAGGCTCTGAAAGCACCTCCTAAGGACGGAGAAAAGGGCATTTGCTGTTAGCACTGCATGTGGCTCCAGGGTAAGCAGACACCTGTAATCTGGACCACTTTGGTAGATTATTATTTCTTCTCATAAAGGTTGATGCTGCCAGTAGAGCTGTTTGCTGTTGGCTCTCCCATGTGCAGCATCTGGGATGGTAGTTCAAAGTCTGATGTTTCACGTATAGAGGAACTGTTGCTTTTGGAGGGTTTTAACCCTTTTTGGGAGGAAACAAGGGCTCCCTACTTGACCCTCCACATCTCCTTGCCATGTCACACTCCTCCCAGTCCTCAGCACCATCCTCAAATACCAAGGAGCAGGCTCCAAACCACTCAGAGAGATGCTTTGTCATACCCCAGTGACCCGCAGTCCTCTGGACCACCCGTGCCAAGGTTCAAAGCCCCGGGCACGGGCACCAGCTGGGCAGCACCGCTGGCACAGCACCTTCATGCTATTTGCTGTGGGAAGCAGACGGGTCTGCAGCCCTGGAAAGCTGTTCTGTTTGATTCCAAATCACTCTCTGAAAGGCACAAACTCCCCCTAGGACTTTTAGGGATCTTATTTCCCAGGAAAGTAATTTATTCCCATTTTCCCCAAAGCGAGCACGGATAGAACTCAAAAAACCCCTCTGAATCAATAAGGAAGTATCATCCTCAACACAGATGCATGAAGATAGTTTGAAAACAACACACTGAAAACTAATTTAAGACAACCATGTTGCTCCAATACATAAAATCCCGTGAAACCTACTGGCTCGTGATATTATAGAGTTCAAGATTGATTTTTAAGAAAAATTACGTCCAGTAACATCTGCAGTATCCTCCTCTTTGCCCTATAATTAATCCAAGCTTTTATTTCAAATCATATGAAATACAATACAGAGTAAAAAGAAAAGAGGAAATATTTTGAAATTAATATCTTGGTGCTTAGTTCTAAAAAATGCTGGGATGTTTGAGTGCTAAGTAAACTCTTCTTCTTTGCTCTGAAAATGACCCTCTAACCAATGTGATTTTGCAAACAAATTCAACTCCAGCAGACACATACTTCCCAAAGAATACACTTCAGATCATGTTTCTCCAGTTAGTCCCAGCTCTGATGCCAAAGACTCGTCTCCCTGCACAGCACATTAGTCAGACACTCTTGCTTCATTACAACCCTTCAAAACACCTAAGCAAAATCAAGGTAGAGAATGGGTTAAAGGGGATGAGACAGAGAGAAGGGCAGGATTTACGCATAATCAGAAGGGAAAAATAACAATTGCTATAACAGAAGGGGAAAACAATAATTGCTAGAACAAACACAAAACAAATACCATTTTGCCCCTTTGGAAGATCCATTTCTCCCGAAAGAAAAAGACATTGGCAAGATTTTTCAGAAATGGAGCAAAGGACACAAACAGAGAAGAGCCCTTTTCTAGAGTTTGGAAGAAAATAGTTTTGTTTGCAGCAGGAGACAGCTGGCTTTACTGCATCCCGGCCCAGCTTTGCTGACTTTGTCCTCTGTGTCAGATAAGCTGCTGGCTCCACTCTCCCCACAAACGGGAAGGTTTTTAGACTGGGAAGCAGAGAGCAGATGCCTGATGAACTGGGGGGACCTTGCAGATGTTTGGCCTTTTCCTGGTCCTCTGTGAACAGATGGACTTTTCTCCTTCACAGCTTTAGTTATTTATTCTGCCACTGCACTTTCCTCTTTCCCACACACAGCCACAGGACCCGATGCTGTTCCCACTGCACTCGCGGGAGAGTATTCCCTGGGATGCAGGAGGGGAAGCTGTTACTGTTATTATTTTTATTGGCATTGCTGGAAGTCTCCCTCCAGCAGAGGGAAGCGTGCAAAGACCGTAAAATCCGTGTCCTGAGCAGCACACAGTTTTAGATGACGTGTGGAAGAACCAGGTCTGCATTTGAGGGAGTAAAGGAGGAAAAAAAGCTGAAAGCAAGTTTACACTCCATTTAAGCAGCATCTCCCTATAGACTGCTCCAATGCACCTCGGGGACCTTCCCTCACTCCAGAAGCTTCACGAGCCAGACCAATTTCACTTGCTTAGGGCCGGGAGGCAGGAAAGTCCATGTAAAGGCAGAGCATATCACTGCTGCCCACCTCCAGCACCAGCCAGCTATGTGGGGAGCTGTCTGGACAAGGGACCACCCCCTGGTCTGCATGGATGTACCAGCGGCTGCAGGAAAAATGGGGCTCTGGGGTTACCAGAGTTAATCATGGGCTGGTGGAGGACATGTCTCACCCTAAGCACTCATCATCCCCTGGCTGATTTGACCCCACTGCCCCTCCATGAATAAGGGATACGATGGGCACAAGGCTTATTAGTATTGATTGCTGCTCAGCACTAAGATTGGCCTTTTGGTTGACATTCACCCGGCATCAGCCTGAACACTTGGAGGTACTTAAGTTATGAGAGTGATTGCACCGAGCTCCATCAATGGAGACGCATCAAGGCAGCTCCAGGAGGTAATTTATACTTCAAGGCAGGTGAAATCACCTTCCGCTGGCAATTTCCCCCTCGGAGGCAGCTGGGGCAGGCAGGTTTGCAGGCAGGGAGCCGCATCCTGCCCCTCCTCGCACTGCGGCACAGCCTGCCTTCAGCTCTCGCAATGAGAAATCTCTGCCCATTACCATACGTTCAGAGGAGAAAATAAACACTCCTCGTTGCGCCAGCTACTTGTTTCTTCTTCTTACAGCTGTGAAGAACGTGAGTCAACCTACGAAGGGGCTGCACGGTGCGACACATGCGTCAGCTCGGTTATTTCAGACACGACGGCGCAACGTGCCGTGAAACCGCAGCTCTGAGCTCTTCTCTCGGCACCCGTGCCCAGCCCTGCGCCGGAGCACCACCCAGCCCAACCACCAGAGACCACAACCACCCTCAGCCCCAGGAATGCTCTCCCCCATATTGTATAATCACAGTAATTAGACAGAAATTAAGTCAGTCTATCATGGCTATGTTGGGAAACTCCAGCAGAACCATAAACAGAAGTGATGCCTCTCAAGCCCCAGCCCAGCTTCTGGCTCCAATCAGACATGTTCCATGCAGATGCATTTGCATTTTACCCCTCTCTTCCCCTAGATCTCCCCTCTTACACTTTCCAAAGAGATTTAAACATTTCATTATTACGCTTTTGAAATCATAGAATCATAGAACAATTTATCTTGGAAGGGACCTTAAAGATCATGTAGTTCCAACACCCTTGCCCTAGGCAGGGACACCTCCCACTAGACCAGGTTGCTCCGTACAAATAAAAGGTGTTTGAAAATGTACAAATAAAAAATTGCTCAAAGCCTTAACAGATGTCTAGATCAGCACGAGCCTGTCAGGCTGAATAGAAACTCGTAAAATTTGCCATTGGCTGCCTGATGCCTTCTGGGTACAAGTACGAGCTGAGAAGAACACCCTGTCTCCTGCACCAAGCACCTTTCTCACTTACAGTCTAACCTTTAAATTTTTAAGTGCACTTCAGTTTTTTGCACGATCAGGCTCATATGTCTCCAGCCTTTGTTTTCGGGGAGATATATCTGCCAGTCAACAAATGAGTTGCAGCACAGTAACTGCCTCCCCCTTTGACTGACACAGTTTAGACACGAAGATTTGCAGCTTTGAAACTTCTAGACATGAAGAAGATCTCACATGTTCAGTAAGAAGAGGCTGTTTGG